CATGTAAAATAGCTAACAATTCAGCTTTAAGGCTAGTAGCCATTCTAATATCTCCCTTAAATCCCCACAACCACTTGCCATCAGAATTTCGAACTAATCCCACAAAACCTGCAGGTCCTGCATTCCCAAGAGAGCTTCCATCAACATGAACTAATAAATTTTAAGTTAAACATACAATTTAGTTTTTATATATATTGTGAATCATCAATTTATTCCATATACGTAAAAACTATTAAATTGCTACTACGTGCATAAATATTATTTATTTGATGTTTTTTTTATTGGTAATCTTTTACACATTTTTAATTTAATTTTTATACATATAAGACTTTTTAAATTTGATCTCTTTATTTGTAATGTATTTTTAATTTAATTTTTACATATAAAAATAAAATTAATAATGTTTAATATATTTAGAGATCAAATTAAAAATGTTTAAGAAAGTAGAGAATAAATAAATGATGATAAAGACCAAATTAATATATATTAATTATATATAGAGAGACTAATTTAATATTTTTTTACGTATAAAGAAGAAATTGAGAATAAAAAACTCATAAAGAAACTATATTATAAGTTAAACCTTTGTTTTACATGGATGTGTTAGTTTAGTATAATTTTATTTAAAAAATATAAAAATGTAGAAAAGAAGAAGTTGGAAAAGAAAAAATGTTAAGGAGAGGAGTAGTAGGAAAGGAAGGGTTTTATTTTAAGGTGGCTTAAACCCTCTTCAGAATTCAGATAAAGGCCGAGTCCATGGCCCAACTTTCAAAGTTTCGTCACTGTCTCTTCCCTTCTCTCTCTTCTCCCTTCTTCTCCAAACCCTCCCTCCAATTCCACTCTCTCATAACCGCCTCCGCCAAACCACACCGTTACAACCTCCGCACTAAAACCACCACGCCGATGGACCCCACCTTCAACAAGCGAAGGGCCCAAGGCAGAGACGCCTCCAAGAAGGACCTGCCCCTCAAAGTTCGCAAGCTTAACCCTATCAATACCATATCCTACCTTCAGATATTGGGGACTGGAATGGATACTCAAGACACCTCTCCTTCCGTTCTGCTTTTCTTCGACAATCAGAGGTTTATATTTAATGCTGGCGAGGTAACTTTTCCCTCTCAATATTCAATATTCAATATTCTAACCATATTTTTATCTGCTTATCTCAATTTATATAATGTTCAATTCAGGGATTGCAAAGGTTTTGCACGGAGCATAAGATTAAGTTATCAAAGGTGTCTGCGATATATCGTCAACTTTAATCCCTTTTTTTTTTCTCCGAATGTGAATTGCCTAGTTTGTTACAATTGTCTTACTATTGTTCATCTTTCTTCAGATAGATCACATTTTTCTTTCTCGTGTATGTTCTGAGACCGCGGGCGGCCTTCCAGGTCTGTATAGGATTGTTAATAACCTTAATGTTTTAGGGTCTGTGTGGATAAACTTCTCTATAATCACTCCATAGGCACTTATAGAAGAAGAAAATAAGGAGAAATTAAATAATCTTCTCCAAAAGCTAAAATTAGCTTATTCAGAAATTAATTTGGAGAACTCTCATATTAACTTCTTCAAGTTATGGTTCTTAATTTATGTATAAGCTATAATTTTAGCTTATGAAGCAGCTAATATATATATATATATATATTTTTTTTTTTCTCCCATAAGTGCTTATGGAGAAATTTATCTGATTAGACCCTTAGTCATGATCCATATGTTGCAGAAAATAGCATTTATTTTCTTTAACAATGTACCAATTACTAAAATTTGATATGTATATTGTTTCTTCTTTACTGGTTAGACTGGTGATTCATCTAGAACTGACGGGCCTTGAAATACTCATAATTTTTTTTCCCAACTTGCAGGTTTACTGCTTACTTTGGCTGGCATGGGAGAAGAGGGGATGTCTGTAAGTAGCATTTAACTTCATATAGTCTTCCATCTTCATCATATATGTTGACTATAAATGATAGTTTATTCTAATTTGCAGGTTAATATATGGGGCCCATCAGATTTTAAGTATTTAGTAGATGCCATGAGATCTTTTATTCCCAATGCTGCCATGGTTCACACAAAGAGCTTTGGTCCCATCTTCAACACTGATGAACCCACTGTGCCACATCAAAGCAAGCTTTTGGACCCCATTGTTCTCATTGATGATGAGGTGGTCAAAATATCAGCCACTATCCTACAACCAAACTGCATTGAAACCCTTGACTCCCCCAATGGCAAAAAGAAACCTGTTGCCAAACCCGGTGATATGTCTGTAGTATATGTTTGTGAACTGCCTGAAATCAAGGGAAAATTTGATCCAGAGAAAGCTAAAGCCCTTGGTCTCAGACCTGGGCCAAAGTATCGTGAACTGCAACTTGGAAACTCGGTGAAATCTGATCACCAGAATATCATGGTTAGTCTCAAAACTCAACATTATTTACCCAAAGCAGAGTAGAAGGAAATTTTGGAAAGGAAACAGAATTTTAGACACTCAGTTCAATCTCAATTACACATGCTTTAGTTTATTTTAATTTGATGTTGGGCTTTCATACGTTATAAAGTAACTGTTTGTCTGCTACAATAGGTTCATCCAAGTGATGTCTTGGGTCCTTCTGTTCCTGGTCCCATTGTACTCCTTGTGGATTGCCCAACAGAATCCCATTTGGAAGCATTATTGTCTGTACAATCACTTAATAGCTATTGTGATCAACTGGACAACCTACCAGAGGGTGGTAAGGTTGTCACTTGTGTAATTCACCTAACTCCTGCATCTGTTGTGAGTTGTTCAAATTACCAAAAATGGATGAGGAAATTCGGTTCTGCACAACATATCATGGCTGGACATGAAAAGTAAAGTTTATGTCTCTCTGCATTTTCCTTTTTCTCGTTCTCCTACCTGCTTTATTAGTGATTACACCTGGTTTGCTCATGCTGTTTGCAGGAAGAATGTAGAGATTCCTATTTTGAAAGCTAGTGCAAGAATTGCAACGCGGCTTAATTACTTGTGTCCTCAGTTCTTTCCAGCTCCAGGATTTTGGTCTCTTCCTAATCATAATAGCTCAAAAATTGGCTCTCTTGCTTCAAGTGAGGTTTGTCACAATGTGATAGAAGATGAAATTTGTTTTCCTAGACAAAGGTAGTCAAGTCATAAATGAGTCTAATTAAATTTGTTTAATTTGGCTACTTTGCAGGGTTCTTTCTCAGAAATTTCTGAAGTCATTTCTGCTGAAAATCTTCTTAAGGTATGGAAGATTGATGTGGCCTGGCCATTAACTTATTTGTTCTTTGTAGAACTCAAATAAAATCTTTGGAGTCAGACTGTCTGAGCAGCTTTTTATTGTGACAATGCATGCCTATTTTGGATTCCATATATCTAATTACATGACTGTTGATGGCATTTTTTTTTAATAAGAGCCTATTATTTTTGACAACTTAAAGCACTGTGCTTATACCTAATAATTTACAAGTTTAAATAACTTCATCTGATTTTCAAATAAACATATCTATTCAGGTTGTTAACTTTTTGTCTTTGAACAAATTAAAATTTAAAATTTATTGGATTCAATGAATCACTAAGAAAGAATATAATAATGGATTTTTCTTGTCAAGTCCTTGGAGAGTGATTTTCTCCTGGACCTGGTATGCCAAAATTTTATAATAAATGTATTGAAGCAGCATTTATGACCCCCCTTTTTTTTTCCTGTAGAAGTAAAACCATGTAGAGTATGTACTTTTCTTAGGCTCTCATCTATCCTTTTTAATCAAGTGATCTTCCATTTGATATACTTTCTCACTGGAGCTTCTATTAATCTTCTGACATGATCAAATTACCTTACAAGAGTTGCTATCATCTTTTGCTTTTAGTGCTGCTCCAATTATTTCCCAGATATATTTGTCATTAGTCACCTTAGGACTATATTTTCTCTTAATTGATCTGTATCTCTTGCTTTCATCAAGTTCATATATTGATAGATATATTACTCTCTATGCAGTTTACTTTGCGTCCTTTTGCTCATCTTGGGTTGGATAGATCTTATATTCCTACTACGGTGGCTACCTCAGAAATCATTGATGAGTTACTGTCAGAGATTCCTGAGGTTTCAGAAGCAGTTAAGCATGTGAGTCAGCTCTGGCAAGAATCTAGTCAGACAAAGGAGGATTTAACTCCTGTGGTGGATCGTAAGATGATGATTGAGGAACCTTGGCTATGTGCAAATGGTATTCCTGCTTGTTTGGAAAATATAAGGAGAGATGACTTAGAGATAGTTCTTCTTGGAACTGGTTCATCCCAGCCATCAAAATACCGAAATGTGAGCTCAATATATATAAATCTTTTCTCAAAAGGAGGTTTACTCTTGGATTGTGGTGAAGGAACCTTGGGACAACTTAAAAGAAGGCAATTCTATCATATCCTTAACATTCATTCAATGTTTATATACTTCACTTGACTGCTCTTTTAATATGAACTGTTAGTTGATGTATCCCTTTGAAACAGATATGGTGTTACTGGTGCTGATGATGCTGTGAGAACTTTAAGGTGCATTTGGATTTCACATATTCATGCTGATCATCATACAGGCTTGGCCAGGATTCTTGCTCGGCGCTGTGATTTGCTGAGGGGGGTGCCTCATGAACCAGTGCTTGTTATAGGACCAAGGCAGCTTAAGAGATATTTAGATGCATACCAAAGACTTGAAGATTTAGATATGCTGTTTCTCGACTGCAAGCATACCACAGCAGCTTCATTGGATGCTTTTGAGGATGATTTCCAAGGAAACTTGGCTAGTTCTCAGAACCTGAACAATAATAATGGGGACTCAAATGCATCAAAAGTTGATTCAACTTTGTTTGCTAAAGGATCTCGTATGCAAAGCTATTTTAAAAGACCAGGTAGTCCTGTTGACAAAGATGCAGTCTCTCCTATCCTAAAGAAATTCAAGGAGGTAATCCAGGAAGCTGGTCTGAAGGCCTTGATTAGTTTTCCCGTTGTACATTGCCCACAGGCATTTGGTGTAGTTTTAAAGGCAGAAGAGAGGACTAATAGTGTCGGAAAAGTGATACCAGGCTGGAAGATTGTATATTCTGGTGACACAAGGCCCTGCCCAGAGCTAATAGAAGCATCTCGTGGTGCAACAGTTCTTATACATGAGGCAAGTAATCTCTTGATGTTGTTTGAGCTTTTAACGATTTTGCATTTGCTGAAAATGTCTTAAACGGGTATAGAATGAGATCAGTATAGCATGTACGCAGTCTTAAGTATTCTAGTCTTGTCTTTGAGGGTCGGTTGGGGTGAGGTGGGTTGGAGTCGATTTCAAACATTAGCGATCCTAGTTACATTTCAGATCCAGCGATGATAAACAAGCCTCAAATCTGGAAGTTTTTTGTTCAATAGGTAAATCTTTTGCAAAACTAGCCGTCTTCCACATTAATTAACTTCTGTCCTGTAGCTTCAACATATTTTGCCTCTCGCTCTGTTTCTCAAAGCTTCGATACTTCTCCCTCATTATAGAATTTTGTGTCTTCGATGACGCCTTTGCTTTAAATTACATAATTATTTTTTATCGACATGTTTCTTTGATTTATATATAAAAAAGGGTAGTCTTATTTATGATTTTTTTTTTACTTCAATTCCTTGAGCAATGAATGCTTTAATTTCAAAATATATATTATCGTCCATGTTGATGTATTCCTTCAACAATGTCTATATGAACTAAATCCAACTCTAGAGAGCTTTGCTGGTTGCTCAATGCCATAACTAACGTGGCTGCTGTTAACTTTAGACTTGCCAATTGTGATACAGGCAACTTTTGAGGATGCTATGGTAGAGGAGGCTATAGCAAGAAATCACAGCACCACAAACGAAGCCATAGAAATGGGAGACTCTGCTAATGTATATCGAACCGTACTGACCCATTTCAGCCAAAGATACCCTAAAATTCCTGTATTCGATGAAACGCACATGCATAAAACATGTATTGCATTTGACATGATGAGTATCAATGTAGCTGATTTGCAAGTGCTTCCCAAGGTTCTTCCTTATTTGAAATTGCTTTTCAAAAATGAAATGATGGTTGACGAGTCAGATGATGTGGTAGAAGCTGCTGTGACTTCAGCTTCTTGATACAATGACCCCATTGTATTATTAATTTTTATTTTTTAAATTATGATTATATGCTGTACAATATGGTAGCGTTCTTTGTTAGATTGCCCTTGCAGTTCGCCCAACTTCATTTTTTTAGGGGTTATTACGTTCTGACCGCTGTTGAATCATTTGTTAAGGCATGTACCAAACACAACACTATTTGTCGAAGTTAATTTAGCATTGTATTTAATGATTTTTTCAGATACATTTTTCTGTGTTCCGGCAATGAAAAATCATCTCATTCGATCTCTCTCTCTCTCACACACACAGATACTTTCTAGTAATTAACATTTCATAGTAAATTGTGCAATACAATACATGAGAGTTAAAGGAATCAATATTCTATATAACTAAAATAAAACATGAAGCTGACTACAAAATAGTATTATTCGATTTGGACAAAATTATAGTGTTCAAAGTTTTTATTCGGTTTTGAGTTTAATTTCTAAATTGAAATGAACCAGAAGAATAAAAATTAATAAAAATTGTAAGACCCAAAGTTAATATTGCTATAATTTATAGAGATTAAAAATATATTTAAGAAAAAAGGAATATATATATATATATATATATATATATACATATATA